TGATAGGGACTTGGGGGAACCTCTTATGGAGTCCCCGCCAATTTACATGGGTATGATTATGCAGTTGTTGAGCTTTCTCCAGGCCTGCTGATAGGATATGGGTAGAAGCCATTTTGTCTGCCTCTGCGTTGCCTTGGGAGAGGAAACCAGGCAGTCCTTGGTGGTCCCTAAGGTGTTGTAAGAAAATGGGGGCCCTTCTTTCTGTTAACAGTGTTTGAACCTGGATCATTAGGGGGGTAATAGGGTTGTCATCTAGCCGAATATGAGAATTTAATAGTCTCAGGAGAAGGTTGACTACATATAGGCTGTCAGAGAACAAGTTCATGGAGTCATCTACTTTGGATGAGGCTAGGGCAATGGCCATGAGTTCTTTAAATTGAGCGGAGCCCTCATAGGTGTGAACGTATGTTTTTGGTTCTGTTCCTATGGGTAAATTACTACAGTGGCTCTGAATTTTCCTCCATCAGTAAACACATTATACGCCTCTGTCAGAAGGTTTTTGACAAAAGGCCTGGGGGTCCCTCAGTGGAGGGTGTGAAAGGGGGTTACCCATTTGTGAGGGCCATAATGACAGTCCAACTTTTCCAGAAAGCCCTCCAAGGCTATAGCCATTTGGCTGTTGTTTCTGCAGAGCCATTCAAAGTCCTTTAGCCAATAAGGGTCAATGCCAAAATGTCTCAGGACCATATCCCATCCTTTCTCAATTAGGTCAGCCAACTGGTCCATGGGTGTATACACCCGTGGAGTGCCCCCTAGGGAGGTATGTACCCATTGGAGGGGCCTCCCCCCTTGTGTGAGGATGGATGTCATCAGGGCCTTGCCGGGGAGCACCCATTGTTTGAGGTCCTTTCCAGGCCTGTAGCAGGCCAGTTAGGCTTGTTCCAGGGCCTCCTGGACCCCCTGTAAAATGTCTAGGTGTTGCGGGTTCAGATGGATTAGCTCTGACGGCTGTTTGCCTACCAACAATTGGAACAGGGGCTCCAGTGTCTCAGTGGAGATGGGTATCCAGGATCGCAGCCAATTGATCTCCCCCAATAGTTTTTGAAGTTCTGTCAGGGTCATATTAGGTTTAATAGTCAGTTGTGGCTTCAAGGGACTTACCCCTTCCATGAGCAATGTAGTCCCTAGAATCTTAAAGGGGGCGACAGTCTGTATTTTGTCTGAGGACACTTGAAGCCCTCCTGCCTGGAGGCATTTTTGGGCGACCTCATATAATTCCTGCAATTGGTAGAGATTTGGTGCCCACAAAATTATATCATCCACGTAGGCATATAGAGTAGCATGTGGCAAAGACTCTGTTGGGCTCAAAAGAGCCCTTATGAAGCTCTGACAGAAAGCTGGGCTATTGGCCATACCTTGGGGTAAGACTGTCCATTTGTACCTTTCATCAGGCGTGCTAAAGTTGATGGAAGGCATAGAGAAGGCGAACTTCTCACAATCTTGGGGTGGCAGGAGGATAGAGAAAAAGCAGTCTTTGATATCTATAACTATGAGAAATAGATCTGAGGGGATAGCAGGTATCCAGGGCAGTCCCCTCAAGGGGACTCCCTCCAGGGTCATTCTGGCATTGACCTTGCGGAGGTCCTGTAGCATCCTCCATTGGCCAGATGACTTTTTTATGACAAAAACAGGGGTGTTCCAAGGGCTCATGGAGGGGCGGATATGCCCCAGCATAAGTTGTTCCTGTATAATATGCCTCAAAGCCTGGAGCTTTGTCTTGGGAAAGAGCCACTGTTCCACCCAAACCGGGCTCCCTGGGGACCATCAGATTGCAGGGACTTGAGGAACAGTGGCCTCTAGGATTGGGGGTGGACCTGGGGAGACTTGGACTCCTCCCCCCATAGTTTGAGAGGTGGTCAAGGGGGTGTCTAACCCTGTTCATTTCCTCATCATCGAGGAGGCCCTCGATAAACTCCCTATTGTCCATGGTCACAAAAACATCCACCCCACAGGAAGTTTCTCCCGAAGAGGTTGTAGGAAAGCCCCTCAGCCACCAAAGGTCTGATCTCTCCCTTAGTACCATCTGGGTCCTGCCAGCAAAGCCAGTTCTTAAGCTCCCATGATGGCATGGTGCCACTGACACCCATCACCTGTGGGCCAGGCTCGAGGGGCCTCCTTCTGGGGACTTCTTCCTTCCTCAGGATGGTCCTATCTGCTCTGGTGTCAATAATGCCCTGGAACCTCCACCCATCTATCAAGTTGTCTATCTTAGGGCGGAGCCCTGGGATGATACAGACCATCCAGTGGGCAGTGGGCCCTCTGGGGCCTGTGTGTCCTCCCCCTTTTGGTGACGGGGCTGGGGGTTGCCCCAAACCTAGTTTAAAGGTTTACCCTCCACATCATACCTGGACCGGCAGTCCTTTTTCCAGTGAAACCCCTTGCAGCAGCATGGGCATGGGGCCCTGGGCTTGTCTCCCTCCACCTTGAGAGGGGCTTTCCCTTGTGGGCAGTCTCTCTTTAGGTGCCCAGGCTGGCCACACCCAAAACATCTCCGGTCCTCAGCCCTGGGGCGCCTGTCCTGCAGCCCAAGGCCTGTGAGGGCTTCTCTAAAGGCTGTAGCTAGAGCCTCTGTCTGTGTCTTTAGGACCACAGCCATAGCCTTGGTCACCTTTGTTTTGGTCCCTATGTCCTTTGAGGCCACGATCCAGCTGCTCATGGAATGGCCCTTTAATCCCGCGCAGGCAACCTTATGGTCGGCGTTCATACCATCCCATACTAGCATTTTTATGAACTGTTCTCTGAGTGGCCCAGGGGAAACTTTCTCCTTAGACTCTTTTCAACCCTATCTATAAACTCATGTAATGGCTCCCCTGAGCTTTGATGGATCCCCAATATGGGCGGCTCTGTAGGGCCCGTATCCAACTTATGCCAGGCCTTGAGGCCAAAGGCCCTGACCTGTTCTGTATATGGTGGCGGAAGTGCTGCCTGCTGGGCACCCATGGCAAAGGCCTCCGTGGTCCCTGTCAGCATGCTGAAAGTGATAGGGACAGGGGGGTTGGTGGTACAGTTATTTTCCGCCTGGACCTGACATTCCTCTTGGAGTCCTGGGGAGGACTACCTTGGCTAGATCCATCCAGTCTTTGGCCGTACAGGGTTGATATACCAAGCCCTGGAGAAGGGTGTTGACCCAGGGGGACCTGGGGCCGTCCTCAGCCACCGCCTTCTTTAATTCTTTAAGATCTTTAGCCTCCCAAGGGTACCAGGAGGCCGGGTGCTGGGGTCCAGGGTTGATGTTTATGGGGAAAGCCTGGACCAGTCCCATGGGAGCGGAGAGCTCCGCTCCCTCATATTCATTCCGACTGCCCAGGGTCCCCACCTTTTTCTCCCCTCTTCTTGTCACCCCCCCTTCCAGATCTCTCCATAGTATATGCTTTGGTTTCACTTTCAATTGTTGGGCTCTCTCCTCATCAAACACGATCCATTGATCTTCCCCTGCAACCTTATCCACCCAGCAAAGGCCGGTATGCCCGGGGGTCGGATCGGGTTGAAAACATGACTTAAGGGCTGAGATCGTGGGGTAAAACCCCAAGGGTGGTTCCTCCCCTCTATTGATCTCTGCCTTGTGAGCCAGTTGTTCAAGCTGGTCCCAGGTAGCCCACTGGAATAAATTGCCGGCAGGCAGCCAGGGAGCAAGATGCAGGGCGGCCTCCCAGACCTTCTTTGACAAGGAATCGGACTGTTCTAACCCCCTGGATCTCAACATGTGTCTCAGTGCCGTGAGTGCTGGGTCCTCCCATTTGCTCCTTGAGTTACCCATCTCTTGGGGTCTCATTTCCCTCAGTACGCACCAATTAGCCCTGGCAATCAGCTCCTGTAGTGGGTCCGAGTGGTCTTCCAGCCCTACAGTGACCGCCACATGTCAGGGATCCTGCCCCAACACAGGAGCCAGGGAAAGGGAGGTGAGCTGTCCGCTTGTACCCACAGCCTCCCCTGGAGACAATCAGACGCGACAGGGAGCCAATCAAGCAGGAGCTCGTTTATTGCAGGCATTACAGGGCTTATGAAGGCAAAAACCACAAAGGAAAATCCCCTCCCCAACTAAGTGTCCAATCATATTAAAGGTGAACTTGAGCATGCAGTCTCCTCTCCATAGCACAGCATAGCAGTCACGAAGTGATCACGTGCTGCCAAGATGCATGGAAATGGCAGGAGCCAATTAGCGATTCTTCAAAGCAAGTCTGGCCGTGCCCAGCCACTTCCTCTAGGCACCAAAGAAGTCTTCCTCTAGGGGCCAAACAAGTCTGGTCACGCCCTGGCCATTTCCTCTAGGTGACTTCTTGCCTCGCCCCTGGCCTCAGGCCCCTGCAAGTCTTCATATGATTAAATAATTAGCATGTTCAAGGGTTGTGTTCCTGTTTACTTTCTATTCCTGAACCCAAACATTGAAATAAGATCAGCATTACATTAATAAAAAGTCACTAGAAAGAGGAAATTTTATTTTGAGGTATGATGCCATTTCATATGTACGGCAATTTATTTGAAACTATCAGACAGCACTTTGATATGATGACATTTTTCATAGAAATGGAAGGCCTTAATTTAATAGCTTTCAGAATGGCGAATAAAATTGCTAATTGTTCCTTCCTGCTGTAGGCAGTGCACTTAAGTCTTTGCCAGCAAATTGCAGATATTGATAATGTCAATGTATTTAAAGTCATTTAAACAAAAAAGACAGAAGGAAATGAAGAGAAACATTTTCTCCTAAAAATTCACTTTGTTTAGGGACTTTTAAATATGCTACTTCTCCTGGCCCTTTACAGGCAAGTTTTTAGAGGTTATGTAGATTTTCTGTAGATTTTTAAGCTTGTAACTAGCTGAACTTCAGTTTGATTCCAGAACGTTTGATTCTGGAAGCAAAAGAGCACTTTTGCTTCTCTTCTCCAACATGGCATTGTCCTTTCCCTAGGAAGCCCAGGAGTATGGATAGATAGGAAGCATTTAAAATCATTTCTATGTATTTCTTTTCTCTATGATATGATTTGGCCTTTTTCTCCCCCCAGGATAATACCCTTCAAGCTGAATGGCCCTCAGCAGATGAATCTACCACCAGCAATATTTCACGACTTGATTTCAGCTCTGGTCCTCCTTCAACCACTGGCAGGGAACTCTGGTCAGAAAGTGCTTTGGGTGATTTAGTGTCTACAACTAAATTAGCCTCTCCCTCTAATGTGGTCCTCAGTTCTTCCCCTGAGGGTTTAGAGGGTAGCAGCTTGACTCATCATTCTGTTACCCCAGCAGTGCTTCAGATTGGCTTCCCTGTGGCTTCTAAGGAAAGGACTTCTGGATCTTCTGTATTAGAAGATGGTGAGGAGTGTTAATCACTTTCCATACTTGTTTGTTGAATCAGATGGCAAGATCTTTGATGACAGGAAGAGATTAGAGTGAAGAGAAAAGCATGGTAGCATTCGCTATGGGGGAAATGTCTTGGGAAAGCCACGGGAGAGAAACGACCAGATTTAATTAGACTGGAAAGCACAAATAACTATATACTAAGAAATAGATTTGAGGAGGTAGGGTGGAAATCAACTAATAGATATTTCAAAGGTCAAATTGAAGAATATACAATTCAACTGTTATGACCACTACTATCAAAGAACTTTAGCTACTTAAATATTAGGATAGTGAATTGCATCAAAGAAGATTACTCTAGTAAGTTCTAATAGGATTAATTATGGGAGCAGGTTCAATGATTTTAGGTTATGGTCATAATGAGAGGAGGAGAGCCTGAACCCAGAAGTCACAGAGAGGCAGTAAAACATGATTTTATAGAGGAAAGGAAAGATCAGTGTGATGGGGTGAGCTAGAGATGTGAAAGAGGAAGATGAACAAAGACATAAATAGTGGGTTTACACTTTTGAGCACAGGGTACATCTGAAGGATGGTGGACAATAAACAACAAAGAAAGAGAAGCACAATTCCTTCTGTGTTTTCAATATGGTTAATTCTTGATTTTTGTGGGAAAAATCAAGTGTTGATGATTATTTCAATAGTCAAAGTCTTATGTTCACATAAGGGGGTTATATTCATGAATGATTACATTACAAATATAGTATATCTTCTTGTAAGGTAGATGTAAAAGTCAGCCATTTTCCCTGGTAACTAGAAAAAGTAGGCAACTATTTTTATTAGGCAAACTAGGATTGTGTTTTGGCAACTTTGTAGACTCATTAATGGAAAATTTTGTTTTTAGGATTAGCCAATATTGAGGACTCAGAAGATGTTCTTTCTACTAATCCATCGCTTTCAAGTTCATTCATTCAACTGATGCCTAAAGAAACAGTACCATTGATGGACGACTCTGGCACGACTCTTCCAACATCCTCACCGTATCTGGCCTCTTCTGTTAGGGAAGATCTTGATAAAGACGTAGCTATACCTTTTGGCTTAGACTCCTTGTCCTCCAAAGTCATAGACCAATTGGAAGTAAGCCCTTTGTTTCTAGACACCTCTGTGGACAAAGAATTCATATTTGAAAGTGGTTTAGGTTCTGGATCTGGGGAAAATGTGGATCTGATTACATGGCCACGGAGTGAGACTTCATTAGAGAAGAGCACTGAACCACTGTCAAAGTCACAGCCTGAGGATGAGGATTCACTCTGGCCAACTGAGAGTATAGGTGAAAAACTACTTATAGATGGCAAAGTAGATTCCACAGACCAAATTATTGAACATTCAGAACATAGGTCTGATGATAGAGCCACAAAATTTTCAGAGGAAGATTCCCTTAGTGGATCCACTATACCCATCTTTGTAGAGTCTGCAACCTATTCTACATCTCTAATTTTTTCCAAGCACACATCAGAGGTACCTGACATAGATTCTTATTCTGTTACCAAAGTGCCTCTTTTACTGGAAGATACTGAAATCTCTGCTTCTACTGGGGAAACAGATCAAGTGAACACCTTCCTGAAGGAGGATGTGGAGCAAACAACAGAGTCCTCTAGTCACAAATGGCTTGACAACAAGGTTTCAGTGACAAAGCCAGACATGCAGCCTATGCGGACCATATTGCCAGAATCAGGTACAGTTTGGGCAAGAACTTCTTCCCTAGGGAAATTGTCCAGAGACACATTGGCAAGTACACCAGAGAGTAGTGACAGACTCTGGTTGAAAGCTTCCATGACACAGCCTACTGAATTGCTGCCAACCACCAGCTCCACCCTGCTGGAGGATGAAGTAATAATGGGTGTGCAGGATATTTCATTAGAACTAGACCGGGTAGGCACAGATTACTATCAGCCTGAGCTAATCCAAGAGCAAAATGGCAAGGTTGGTAGTTATGTGGAAATGTCTACAAATGCTCACTCCACAGAGATGCCTATTGTGGCTCAGCCCACAAAAAGAGGTGACTGGAGTCACATCCAGACCACAGGAACACTGGTGGTTTTCTTCAGCCTCCGAGTGACAAACATGATGTTTTCAGAAGACTTGTTTAATAAAAACTCTTTGAAATATAAAGCCCTGGAACAAAGATTCTTAGAATTGGTAAGCACAAAATGTAAAACATGGGCATTACTGAACGTTGTGTGACTCTCTTCCCACCCTCAGCACAAGTCTGAGCCCAGGGAGGTTGTCTGCTGTGGTCATTGATTTACTGTCATCTGTAAATGGCATCATGACTTTGGGTTGGTAGGAGAAAAATAAGACAGGTGGAGTCAAGAAATGGAGACATAAATGTGGCATGAAGGTGACGTGACAGGTTAGATACTGAAGATCATATGCCAGGAATTCTGAGACTGAGACAAAATATCTCATTGTGAGATCAGTATTTTGTGGATATTCATATCTTCAATATTGCGGCCCTTCAGTGAAACAGAGTAAATAAATTCTAAGTATTTGAAATGGCTTATGAGTTCCATAAAGTTTTATGCTATCAAATTACTCCTAATTTAAAAAATATTATTGTCATTATTATTATTCCAAAGACAGGCAATTTTAAACACATTTTCCCAGAAATAACTTGAAGCAGGTTACACACAAATATATATACAATGAAGTTTAAGTGGGGGAAATATGAATAAGAAATCAAAGACCAAAGGATCAACTGATCATGGGATCAACTTTGGTGGAATGATGAAGGTTTCCATTAGCTCTGGTCTCTTTCTCTCTTTCTCTCTCTCTTTTTTAGAAAATACTGACAAGTTTATTGGGCTTGCTAACAGAGCATAGGGTGGGAATATATTTACAGAAGAGTGGGTGTCCCCCCATTTATGGCTGTATTGCAAAGGTCACACTCAAATATAGATCCTGTGACTTCCTGAAAGCCACACAAAATGGTGAGAGGTACCTCATGGTAGTCTCAGCTTATATATCTTTAGCCCCTCCCCGACATGAAGCTAAGATTGACTGATTGGGTGGGAGGGGTAACTGACTCCCCTGTCGACTCCTTGATGTGCACGGGAAGGAGGTGTGACCATAGCAAGCATAGTGGTCTGAGGACACTTCCACTTACATTCCACATCTTCCTCTAGCTCTTACATTCTTTCCACCAACTTCTTCTGCAAAAGTCTCTGAGCCTTGGAGGGGGTGATTGGTGGGATGATCTTCCTCCCATTGTGGCAAGGCACTTAACTTTCAGGTCTCTGCATCATCTGTTTTCCGTGGGCTGTTGGCCCATTTCAGTAGGATTCCATCTATTATAAGGATTTGGTGCTAGGATCCACAAATGAGAGAGATCATAAGTCTTGTTTTGCTGAATCTGTATTACTTCACTAAGTATAACAGTTTCTAGATCCTACCTACAAATTTCATTATTTCGTTTTTCTTTACTGCTGAATAGAATTCCATTGTGGAAATGTGCCACATTTTCATCAACAACTTGACAGTTGAGGGCTACAGGTTGCTTCCACATCTTAGCAATTGTGAAAAGAGCAGCAGTAAACATGGTTGTACAAGTATCTTTGCAATAGGATGAGTCCTTTGGGTATATGCCAAGGAGCGGTATAACCGGGTCATATGGTAGGTTCATTTTTAGTTAAGAGTTCTCCACACTGATTTCCATAGGGGTTGCATGAGTTTGTAATCCTGCCAGCAGTGAATGAGTGTTCCCCTTTCTTCACATCCTTGCCAGCATTTGATATCAATTGTTCTCTTCATCATAGCCATTCTGACTGGGGTAAGGTGGAATCTTAAGGTGGTTTTAATTTGCATTTCCCTGATTACTAACAATGTTGAACACTTTTTAAAGATGTTTCTTAGCCATCTTTATTTCTTCCTTTGAGAACTCTCTGCTTAGATCTTTAACCCATCTTTTAATTGGATTGTTTTATTGGTTCTTTGTTTTCTGAGTTCTTTATATATTCTGGATGTTAAACCTCTATCAGATGTGTCACTGGTGAAGATTTTCCCCCAAATCTGTGGTTTTTCTCTTCACTTTCTTGATTATTTCTTTTGTTGTGCAGAAGATTTTTAGTTTAATGAGGACCTGCTTATTGATTATTGACCTTAATTCCTGAGCAACTTGTGTCTGGTTTAGAAAGTCCTTTCCTACACTTATATCTTGTAGATTACTGCCAGTATTTTTTTCTAATAGTTTCAGGGTTTCCAGTTTCACACTGAGGTCTTTGATGCATTTGGAGTTGACTTTTGGGCAAGGTGAAAGATAAGGATCCAGTTTCGTTCTTCTACAGGTGGAGATCCAGTTTTGCCAGCACCGTTTGCTGAAGATGCTGTCTTTCCTCCATCATATGTTCTTAGCACCTTTGTCAAATGTCAGGTGGCTGAAATTGTGTGTACTCAGGTTTGGGGTCTTCAGTGTTGTCCCATTGATCTATGTGTCTATTTTTTTTTGCCAGTACCATGCTGTTTTTATGACTATAGGTTTGTAGATCTGGTATAGTAATCTGCCCAGCATTGCTCTTTGTGCTCAGAGTTTCTTTGGCTATCTGGGGTCTTTTGTGCTTCCATACGAATTTAGGGATTTTTTTTTTCCTAATTCTGTGAAATATGTCATGGGGATTTTTATTGGGATTGCATTGAATCTATACATTGCTTTTTGTAGAATTGTCATTTTCTCAACATTAATGCTTCCAATCCATGAGCATTGGGAGGTCCTTCTATCTTCTTCAATATTTTTCTTTAAAGATTTAAATTTTTTGTTGTAGAGCTCTTTGATTTCTTTGTTCAGGTTTATTCCAAGATATTTTATTTTATTTTATGTTTTGTGGCTATTGTGAATGGGAAGGTTTCCCTGTACTCTTTCTCCAATTGATTGTTATTGGTATAAAGGCTACAGATTTTTGTAGATTAATTTTGTAACTTGCCACTTTACTGAAAGTGTTGATCATTTCTAGAAGTTTTCTGGTGGAATTTTTGGGATCTCTTAGGTATAGTATCATATCACCTGCAGAAAGGGATAATTTGACCTCTTCTTTTGCAATTAGTACTCCTTTAATTTCCTTCTCTTCTCTTTTTGCTCTAGCAAGAGTTTCAAGCACTATGTTGAAAAGAAGTGGAGATAGTGGACATCCATCTCTGCTTCCTGATTTCAATGGGAATGCTTCCAGTTTTTCTCCATTTAGAATGATGTTGGCTGTGGGTTTGTTGTATATAGTTTTAATTATGTTGACATTGACATATGTTCTCTCCAGTTCAATTCCATCTAGGACTTTGAACATAAATGCATGATGAATTTTGTCAAAAGCCTTTCTGCATCTATTAAGATGATAATGTGGTTTTTGTCTTTGAGTCCTTTTATATGATTAATGATGTTTATTGATGTGTGTATATTGAACCACCTCTGCATCTCTGGAATAAAGCTGACTTGATCATGGTGAATGATCTTTTTGATGTTTATCTATATGGTGGTTTGAAAGCATTTTTTGAGAATTTTTACATTGATGTTCATTAAGGATATGGGTCTATAGTTTTCTTTTTTTGGTTGTGTCTTTTCCAGGGTTTGGTATTAGAGTGATGCTGGTTTCATAGAAGGAATTTGAGTTATCCTTCTGTTTCTATCATTTTGAATCATTTAAGTAGTATTGGTTGGAAGTCTTCTTTAAATGTCTGGTAGAATTCTGTTATAAATCTATCTGGGCCTGTGCTTTTTTTAGTTGGGACTTTTTGTACTAATGTTTCAATTTTCTTATATGTTATGGGTCTGTTTAAACTGTTGATCTCTTCTAACTTTGGTGGTTCCCGTGATTTTAGATATCCATCCATTTCTTCTAGGTTTTCAAATTTAATAGAGTAAAGGTTTTTAAAGTATTCCCTTATAATGTTCTGAATCTTTTGGGTGTATGTTGTGATGTTTCCCCTTTCATCTGTGATTTTGTTGATTTGGAGGTGCTCTTTCTTTCTTTTGGTTAGCTGGGCTAAGGCTCTATCTATCTTGTTTAACCTTTCAAAGAACCCACTCTTAGATTAATTGATTATTTGTATTGTTTTCTTTGTTTCTATTTCATTAATTTCTGCTCTGATTTTTGTTATTTCTTCTCTTTTGCTGGATTTGGGTTTCATTCATTCTTGCCTTTTCAGAGTCTTCAATTGAAGTGTTAAGTCATTTGTGTTCTTTCTGTTTTTTTTTAATGTAGGCTCTTAGAGCTATAAACTTCCCTCTTAGGACTGCTTTTAAAGTGTCCCAGATGTTTTGTTGTGTTGTATCATCCTTTTAATTGACATCCAGGAGTACTTTTATTTCCTTATTAATTTCTTTTTGACTCAGAAGTGTGTTGTTTAATCTCCATGAATTTGTGTGGCTATTAGAGCTTCTTCCAGTATTGACTTTAAGTTTTATTGCACTGTGGTCTGATAGAATGTGCGGAATTATTTCAATATTTTTGTAATTGTTGATGTTTGTTTTGTGCCCCAGGATGTGGTTAATTTTTTTAGAAAGTTCCATGGGGTGCTGAAAAGAAAGTGTATTTATTGGTACTTTGATAGAATATTTGGTAGATGCCTGTAGGTCCATTTGATAGATGGTATCATTTAATTCAGACATCTGTTTATTGTTTGGCCAGTTGACCTGTCTAATGGAGACAGTGGAGTATTGAAGTCCCCTACTATTACTGAGTTGGGTTTAATCTGTGTCTTAAAGTCCTATAGTGTTTTTTGAGTTTGGGTGCACCAGAGTTTGGTGCATATATGTTCATGATTGTAATATCATCTTGGTTAATTGTTCCTTTGATTGGAATGAACTGACCCTTTTTTCTCTCTTCTGATTAATTTTAGTTGAAGTCTATTTTGTCAGATATTAGAATTGCAACCCCTGCTTTTTTCCTAGTGCCATTTGCTTGGAATGTTCTTTTCCATCTTTTACCTTAAGTTAGTGCCTGTCCTTGAAGGTGAGATGGGTTTCTTGCAGACCAAAAAAGACAGATTTTGTTTCTTAATCCATTCACTTAGCCTGTCTCTTGACTGGGGAGTTCAGTCCATTGATATTTAATGTTAAAATTGAAAGATGTATATTGGTTACCATCATTACTCTTTGCATTCTTTGTCTAATTTAGTGTTTCCACAATTATACCTTTATTTATTTTCTTTCTTTGCCCCTGGGGTATAATTGTTCCTTTCTCTGTTCTTTCTTCAACTATTCTTTGACAGGCAGGTTTTGGGGACATGTAGTCTTTCAGGCTATTCATGTCATGGAAGACTTTTCTTTCTCCCTCATCTATAATAGACATTGATGCATAAAGTGTTCTGGGATGGCATCTGCTGTCATTTAGAGCTGGAAATACCTTGGTCAGGCTCTTCTGGCTTTCATAGTTTGCACTGATACATCAGCTGTAATTCTGATGGGCTTTCCTTTATATGTGACATGTTTTTCTTTTGCTGCTTTCAGTATTCTCTCTTTGTTCTGTATATTTAGTGTTTTTACTATGATATGCTATGGGGAGTTTCTTTTCTGGTCCTGTCTATTTGGTGTTCTATGTGCTTCTTGTATTTGTATGGGGGTGTCTTTCCTTAAATTTGAGAAATTCTCTTCTACAGTCCTGTTTAAGATCTGGTCCATGCTGTTATCCTGAGATTCTTTGCCTTCCTCTATGCGTATGATATGTAGATTTGGTCTTTTCATGGTGTCCTACATCTCTTGCATATTCCATTCCTGTGTTTTAAAAAAAACTTTTCATAATCTTTGCTTGAGTGGTCCAATTCTTCAACTTTGTCTTTCAGTGTTGATATTCTCTTTCCCGTTTTGTTCATTCTAGCGGCGAGGCTTTCCCCTGTTTTTTCAAGTTAACTTATTGAGTTTTTCACTTCCTTCTTTGTTTCAGTCGGAGTTTTCTTCAATGTTTTCTATCTCTTTTGTGAAATCACTCAGAAGTTTATCTCTATCTTCTTTCAATTCTTTGTGTGTACTTTAAATTTATTGACTTCCTTGATCATGTTTATGATTGTTCTTTTAAGTTCTGTGTCTTGAGTTATCTTTAGGAGGTTCTCCTTGTAGAACTCTGTACAAGATTGGTAGAGTTTGGTGGGACCATACTGTTTTGGTTTTCCGTATTATTCTTCTTCTGTTGTGCTTTTGGTATGTGGATTTCTTGTTTGTGATTCTGGTATGAAACTCAAACCTTCTTTTGTTGAACTGAAGTTTGATTCTGTTTGTATTATTGGTGTGCTTTGGTTGTTTTCTTATTGGGCATGTAAAGCAGGTTGGTCTAGGTTTCAGGTTCTCTCAGATTTTATTTTGGAGGGAACTGATGGCTTCAGATCAGCTACTCAGGAGCTCCCACAGAGGCCCAAGTCAGGCTCCATTCAGGTACAGTCAGGCTTCCTTTTCACATGTGGACCTCTTCTAGAGAGTACTTCGAATATGATTTGGGAAGTTTGCTAGGGGAGCACTCTCAGGCAGCCTGCTGAGTTCTCAGCCATTACACCAGACTGAGGCCAGATCTGGCACTCTCAGGCACTCCACTGAGTTCTCAGCCCCTACCACAGGTAGAGGCCAGATCAGGTCATCAGTCTTAATTTTTTTTTTTTTTTTAGTTCTTTTAGGTCTTTTTTTTTTTTTTTACTCCTATTTTTTAAGGCTTTTAGTTATTATATAAAATAAAGGGCTTCATCATCATGACATTTTCATATATATATCTTCAATTTTCTCATATTCAGCTCCTCACTACTTACTCATATCTTCATTATTCTCTCACTGGTCAATTTCATCTTCCCAAATAGTGTACTTCTGATTTTACATCTGATTTGTATATACAAATGATGGGGTAGACTACTATATGATATATATAAAAATCTAGATCCGCATGTGACCAAAAATTATCAAATTTTATTTCCTACATTGCATTACTTTCTCCTGTTTTCCTCCATTGAGACGAGTTTTTGCATTTTGTTGAATATATCACCAAACAACAAAAACATATGAACATCTTTTTTAAAACTTTGTTTTTGTGTGTTTTATTGTCCTTTTGATATACATTTAACAAAATGCTAAACCTTGGCTGTGAACTTACCCCTTTTCATGTATTGCAGCTGGTTCCCTATCTCCAGTCAAATCTGTCAGGGTTTCAGAATTTGGAGATCCTGAATTTCAGAAATGGCAGCATTGTGGTGAACAGCCGGATGAAGTTTGCTGAGTCTGCACCTCTGAATCTCAACAGTGCTGTGTATATGATTCTGGAAGACCTTTGCACTACTGCCTACCAAACCATGAACTTGGATATTGACAAATACTCCCTGGATGTGGAATCAGGTAATGATAGTGCCTATTATTATGTTTTTTTTTGTAGTGGAGTCCAGTGATTATTCTTGTGTGTTTTCTTTTCCAGTGAGTCAAAGTAAATCTAATTCTTTTAGGAAGAAAAGAGTATTATTTCAGACACATTTTCTACATCTGGAAAATTAGCAAAGTAATTTTCTCAAGGGTGTCTCAAAAGGCTAAGCAGACGTGTTGCCTTTACTGTTTGCCTCCCATTCCCCTTTCTACATGTTCTTTCTAGCTCTTTCTGTTACTTGTTTTGTTTTTAAGTGAGTCAAAGTAAATCTAATTCTTTTAGGAAGAAAAGAGTATTATTTCAGACACATTTTCTACATCTGGAAAATTAGCAAAGTAATTTTCTCAAGGGTGTCTCAAAAGGCTAAGCAGACGTGTTGCCTTTACTGTTTGCCTCCCATTCCCCTTTCTACATGTTCTTTCTAGCTCTTTCTGTTACTTGTTTTGTTTTTATGATTACATAACCCTCAAATTTGGCCTTTTTTCTTTCCAATAAGTGACATATATATATAT